CGCGCCACTGTTTTTTAAATAACTCAAGAATGGAATGAGCTAGAGACGTGCAGTTTTCACCAATCGATAGATGATACAGAGGGACATCTTTGTCTCAGATAATGTGTCAGGCGAAATCCTTTTAAAACTACTCATCTTTGAAAGATATGGAAAAGAATGCGTGAAAATGACCTGCCATCCAGATGAAATTTTTAGTTTGACCTTTGATTTAGATAGAGGGACTTGAGATCTACAGTTCAAGATACAATGCAAATATTTTTCTTATTGCATTCTAACGTTGACCAAATGGAACCATGTATTTCATGTGCAAATAATAGGGAATTTTACTGACTTTTTACTATGTTTTTGCATTTTTATCATAATAGCTAGACATTTCGATGAAAACGTAAGGAAAAGTAAGAAAGTGCATTGTATCTTAAACTATAGATATCAAGTTCCTCTATCTAAATCAAAGGTCAAAGTCAAAATTTCATCTGAATGGTAGGTCACTTTCATGCATTCTTTCCCATATTTTTCAAAGATGAGTAGTTTTAAAAGGATTTAGCCTGACACATTATCTGAGACAAAGACGTCCCTCTGTCTCATCTATCGATTGATGAAAACCGCAGGTCACTAGCTCGTTGCGCTCTTGAATTATCTAAGAAACAGTGGTGCGCACTATATTTCGAAATGGACAGTACGGCGGTGAACTCATTATCCTTTATATCTTTTTACATTTATCTTCTCATCAGTATTTTGCTTAACTGATGAAGTGCTCTGGAACAAAATGGGTATCTTACCTGATGCATTTATTGGTGAAAATGTTACTGATCCTAAACCAGTTGCAATCACGGTAAATTGTCCTGTTACTATAGGCTTATTTGTGGTTACAACTAAATAGTATGTTGTTACATTATTGAGCCAAATGTATAGACGAAATTGTTGATTGCCAGCACCGTCATTGTTGCTTGCTAGTAAACTTTGTGATGGTTCTAGAGGAATGAAAATGTTCTTGTACATATAACCATAAGTATCCATGTTACTAATTGATTTAAAAGAATAATATCCAGTAATCGAGATGTTCAAAGTGAAAATTTGATAATAGTAGGCAGATGTTGAACAGTTGCTTACACGACAAAACTGTTCACTAGTGTTAGTCAGCTCTGACAAATATTGTGAAGTAATGACATTTGAAGTGTCTAATCAGAGAAAAAT